GGTACGTCCGCATTCCATGCGTTTCCTATATGACCTTCTTGAGGTCGTCTAGTCTCATGTCACTGTCTTCCCGTGAGTCTGTTTATGTCTATGAATTGGAAAGCTTTATTCCTGAAGTACGTGTGATTATACATTTCCCGGTAAAATCTCGATATCGGGTGTTGACATATCATCGGCACGCACGTGTACTATTGTTTACCAGGGGCCTGTTCGTTTATGCGGAACAACCGGTTTGACCGTTTATAAATGTAACAATTTCGGGTATAAATCATGTCGGACCTGCAAATGTGTATGCAGCCCTTGCAAGGCTTTCTCAAGGCTCGCCTGAAAGCAGCATCAGATTACTAGGTCCGACCTTATTTAATAAACGAACAACAGTGGTCCGATCAGTTTAACCGTTTAAACGAAAACGGCCCAGGTGTTACTATAATTTGCACTACGATATTGAATGCCCGATACGCAATACGGAAATGACGACACGGTGTACATGCACATTTCGATCAAGTTAATTGAGTCCGAGCTGTACTTTTTCCGGAAGTACGTCACTAAAATGGACGCTGATGACGATGTGTGGAGCCACCTTAATCAATAGAAATTCACCATAGCAGAACCTACAAGTATAGGACAGACGGTAGTAGTAATAAACTCACAACATTAAATACAAATTGTAATAGTTTCAAATTGATTATTTTGTTTCTTCCATGTGATTCAGTAAAAATATTGTGAGATTTCACCATCCAAAGTTATTTCACACTGAAATTATAAAAAACTACTTCCCCAGCCTGATGCGCTGAAAACTGTCGCAGGTTTGTGGGATAAATATATAACTTGTGTTTCATACGAACAATAAAACTATAGTTATAACACCTACTGTATTTGTTACAACAGGTATCTTTCATTCAATAAGTACTCTCCTTACACTTTTCTTTGAAAATCTGTTTCCACCTTTTTAACACCTTAAAAAAGTTGTACATCTGGCACTGTAGTACTTAATATCCAATGTTAGTTTCTATGTAAGGATATCTTCTTCATTAATAAAGATGAAATTTTAAAAAAAAATTTTTTTTTTTTTTTTTTAAAAAGACACTGATAATTGACAAAGAAAAATATTTGTGTTCGTTTTGAGAGAGAAAATGCATGTTTATGTAATAATTAAAAGAGACTGGCTGTTTCATTCCTTTGATGAACAGTTTAAGGCACATTGACTGTATCATGTAAAAGTTTTTCACTTCATTAAACATATAAAATGTGATTGGGCAACAAGTAAATAGAATTGGGAAACACCGTAAATACACTAGCTGCTGCTCAATAAAATACAGTCCTTCTCCATCAAATGACACGATCACAACATTAACCCGTGTTTTCATATTAGTGGGGATGAGTGATAAACAGATCAGCTTTTATCATGTACTTGCCTTTTTTGTTTATTTTGATCGGCATTTGACTGTAGTTTGTACTAATTTTTGCCAACTCTGAATTAACTATTGTGTGATTATTCTGCAATCTAATGTATCACATTTTTGTACAGCTGTGTACTGCAATTTATATTAAATACTTGTATGTAACTTTTCTATGTATGGATATTCTTACTGTATCTTGTAACTTATGTTTAGTACGTATTTAATTTGATGTATACTTTATAATGTATAATCTGCATGTTTTGATAAATCTTTTAACCACTTCAATGGAAGGGAAAATGGTTTCTGGTTTCACTTTGGAGGAAATACTAGGAGATTTTGCATGTAGAAAGCATTCTTTGTGATTTTCAGGTCCTAAATGAAATGTTGGCTACCTTTTCTTGCTTTTTAGAATTTTATTGATAACATATTTCTACATGTATATGTGCACTAAACAGTCCTGCAAGCTGTTTGTATTTAGGACTATTCAAGATATGATTATATGGGGGGGGGCAGGGTCACAATATATAGCGTGATGGTCACAAAAAATACCTGCTTGTCCCCCTTATATCCTATCTGGAATACTCTGGATTGTTTTTGTGGAACAATTGGTTTGTCTGTTTTTGAATGTAACATTTTAGGGTATAAATCTTGGTGGACCTGCAAATGTTTATGTGCAGGCCTTGCAAGGCTTTGTCAAGACTTGGCTGAAAGCAGCATCAGATTACTAGGTCCGACCTTATTTCATAAACTAACAACTTTGGTCCAACCGGTTCAACCGTTTGGATCGCGATAAACGAAAATGGCCCAGGTCTTTATCTGCATTTATTGTGTCAAAAATCTAGAGTTATCTTCCTTGCATCGATATTACTGTGCTGTGCAATTGCTAGACAACTTCACTATATAGGTCACTGTTTATTGCAAATCTTTACAAAAAGAATTTGTAATTATGAATATTGGGAGATATGCCTCAACTAACCAAAACTTTAAAATGAAACCTGGTACATTTGTAATAATTTTACATTTCAATAGAATAATTATAAGACTAGTTTTCATATTTTTTCAAATAATGTGTATTAATTTTCATTGGATTAAAAAAGCTATAAAATGTATGTTCAAATTATGAAGGTTATAATCTGCCATGATACAGTGACCTCCCTTGAATTCTAACTTGTTGCTATGCCATTCTGAAGTGTCTCTGTTGCTACGCTCCACTGATGCTATGATCCTTTTGATGTGTTGCTAATACGCCACTCATTGGTGGCTCGGTTGCTATGATCCTTTGATACGTTGCTATGATCAACTAATGTGTTGCTATGCTCCAATGACATGTTTTTCCAAAGCACAATAATCTACCACTCTCTGCATGAATGCGTATCGTGTTGTTCTTTCAGAATGTTATGCACTCTGGAAATCTACGAGGGAAAAATATGGGGAGTGATCCAGATTTTACTCGAGATCGCCAAAACTCTTCTCATATGCACGCATCTGTAAGTGTGGTCGATCTGCTTTTCACCCTATCATTATATAGCCTGTCTTCTCAAAAGAGAAACACATCTTTCTGTTTGTAAAGGAAATCCGTTTCTGATTTACATGTTTGTACTATGTATTACAATATATCCAGAAACTTTTCCAAAGAGCACCACCTTGAGGGTCAGTTCTACCCAGACTGTGTATAAAATATATATGTACTCAAGGTAAAAATTGCAATATCCTCTTCTCACCATTAACTCATTCACCCCTGAAATTTTATAATGAACTATTCCAACCTTTGAGTTGGAAGAGTTAAAATGTGTCTTCAGGGGTGAATGAGTTAAAATTGCTATTTTTGAATGATGCTTAGCAATAAGTGTACTCTTAAGCCTTAGGATGCAGCCAGTTGGAATTTGGTACAGTACCATCCTTGGGACAATTTGATTAAGTTTTGTATTTACAAATTTTGCCTCTCATCGTGTTGAAAATTTACATATATCTTTCATCAGAAGCTAGGTTTTTCATGAGAAATGATGCAAGAGTTTACCTTAATAGGTCTGCAATTTTTTGTCCAATATTTGCACTGTATAGCTAAAAAATATTTGTAGGGGAGACAACTCAGATTTATTGACTAAGGGAGATAACTAGGTTTCAAAGTTTTTCACGGCTTGATAAAATAAGTAGAGTCACAAGCAAACATGGCTGAACACACAGTAACATGTACAACATAAACCTCACATATTATACTCGATGAAATATGCTACTTCTATTTGTAGTTTCAATAAACGTACATAATCTGCACGTGCATGATAAAAAGTCCTTTATACACCAACTGTATCGTCTCACATTCGATTTCCACAAAATAATTGTCACAGTAGCACGGAATTAGATTAGTCCGTTATCCAAGTCCTTGACAGTAGTTACTGAGGCAAATTTAATAGTTTGATAATCACTTCTTAGAATCCTAACTACAATGTATAATGTTCAGATTGTTGACCAGTCTCTTTTGTTTTTTTAATGTTAAGAAAATCGTTCACTCGTTATTGCATGCATTAAATCGATTTTCGTTTCTTTTCTCTTTGTTTTTATTAAGAGATAGCTGTGTACTTTTTTCGTAGAGAAGGAGATGTCGGTTGTTTTAGGAAACACTTGAACAAAATGGGAAATACAAAAATGTCAATATATATAAATTGACAGGACAATATATATATAAAATAAAATAAGAAATACTCGAGAATGACTGCTAGGCCTTAATAAATTTGGAGGGGTAAAAATACATCAACATTATGAATAACTATTCATAAATCACCATTCAGAGACCCTATAGAAGCTACTTACAGAAGGGAGGACTGTAAATGTAGCCTAACACATCATACAGACTAACAGGTGTTTTATACCCCAACTTGCTCTGTGTTGTTTAGCCAGTACATAAGGGACCCATCATTCATAGTAGGGCAGAGTCAGCCCCGGCCCTTAACGTTAACCGGATGGAACCTGTAAGTTTGTCGACAGATCTTTTAAATTTATATACCGACTTCGAGCTCGCCACCCCAGCAAATCGCTCAAGACTGACTCAAAAATATCACGTGTAGAATCCAGAAAGACAGACTTCTATAGAAAAAGCAATTATCTTTTAACAAGGTATAAAATAGGTACCGTTCTTCACTGAATATCCACCAGTGAGTTATCTTCAAGGTACATTTTTGCAAAAAATAATACTTACCTGTGCGAACCCTACTGAAGGATAACAGTGGACAAAACTGGAAAGATACAAAACACTAATGTGTCTGCACCTGGATTTTTGAGCCAGTCTTTAAAGAGAGATGAGGGAGTTGACCTGTTGCTACAAGTATTTAATTATCTGTGGATAGTATGAATATTTTGAGGATACATTAAGTACAAACAAAAACAAACAATACAGCTGAGTCGACATGTAAAGCCAATTATTTGTTTCTCTAATTCCTTGTACGTGTCAATGAGGAAACAAATCAGTCAATTTGGCGGCACAGCACATCTTTCCTCACCGGGTATTTCTATTTTTCAAACAAAATGTAACTGGACATGATTTGTGTAGGGCTGTCTTTTGGTGACTTTATACTTGTAAACAGTAGCAACACGTCACCCCGTCATTATATTACGTAATCGGAGACGACCCTGCACATGTTGTCAAGGATCGGAGAATGCCACGCTTTGTGCATGTGTTGGTCCGGGTTACCCTGCATGCATGCCTACCTTTCGATTTTATGTCACTTAAAAAACTACTTTTCAAATACAAATGTACCGTATATATAAAATCTCACACAGTAGAACTGCATTAACTCGTTCAGTACCACTGACGACGTAAAGGTGTCCACGACCACAAACCTGGGGTCCCCAAGCACCAAGAAACAGTCGACCTTGTCTTATACATTATCTGAATATTCAAACATTCTCGTATCCAACATACAATTGCTTTACCGTTTCTGTCAAAAAAAATCTATCAAATAAATCCTGTGTCTTTTAAAAAACGAACTGTCTAGTCTGACCAATGTGTTGGGTGCACAGGTTGGCAGATTAGACAGGTTCACTGTATATAGACCGCGTTGTATATTGAACGTGTTGTCTGTCACCATAAGCACTAACATTTATATGTTGCTCATTCTGTTTTGAATATTTAGCTCACTTCAAATTCTGAAGCAATTTCAATATTTTCTCTTAAAATTCCTATTTTGCCATCTTTTAGTAGTTTCTTATTTCACAAATTTCCACTTTTTTATTTTTTATTTTTTTCAATTCTTGTCTATTGAGTTTGATTTTGTTATTTTAACTTCGTTAAATTTTGTTGCTGTTTTTTATGCCCTTTGTCCCTCATCTTACACAAGACACTAACACAGATATCAGCTTTTTCCAGCACAACTTACTGAAAAATATTTTGCTTATTGTCTGTCCTTTTTCATTCGGATTCGACGGATTTTGAGCGAATGATTTTACTGGTTTTCACAATTCCTACTCTATTTAACTCTAAAGAGAATCTTAACTCTCATTGAGTTTGCCTACAACAAATGTACATTTATTTCGATTGAATATGAAAATATTTCTCTTTATCAATACATATGCCAACAATATAGAGTTTGTCATTTTTCATGGAGTGTTATTTTGATGTCCTGTACTTGTTTCAGTCATAGATACAGGATAACTTTTAACCTTTTCACCCCTATGTAATTTTAGTAGACTCTACCATGCATTGATTGGGATGAGTCCATTAGGGTCAACAGTGGTGAAAGGGTTAAATGAAATTTCTTGTTAAATTTGCTTGTGGAATGAGCTGGCAAACTCTTTAAAATGAGAAAAGAATTGTGAAAATTGGTTAGCCTTCATCATTCATAGTCTCAGAAACTGTGGAACCAAATGGAAAGGGATTGGCTAGTTAAACCTGCACAATACCATGAACACAAAACACGAAATATATTCTAACATCGTTATTTATCATGAATACAAAATGTTATTTGACAGCGCTATATATAAACACTTCTGCACCTAACACCAACATGAATGTACGTCTGGTTAAGTAAATCAGTTTACATTTAGCTTCAATTCCTTTTGATTATTTGACTAACTGTATTATTCGGTTTAACAGAACATCGTTGCATACATGTTTTGTATATGATGTATGTGAAAACACATTTTCTGATCAGTTGTTTGATTGTTATGTCATGAAAAGAAAATAACAGATGTATAACCTCATGATGATTTCTAGAAATGAAAGCCAGATTTCAAGAATACTATTTTTTCTCTGGCAAATGGGTGACAAGTATGTATTACAGGGTTTACATAAATAATGGTTGCAGTCTTATATTCTGGGTACTGTATAGTTGCTAATATTCACGAGGGTTTTAATGTTGAGAATTTCCCGATGTGTTAAAATTCATGAAATTAAAACCCTCATAAATATTTTTAGATCGTAGATAATTAAGGCTACACACGTAACTCTTCATCTTGATGTGTTTTATAAGCATCAAACATACACACCATGTTTAAGTTATGTTACTGCTTGTTGCAAATAGTAACAAACACTCTGAACTCTTTGCGAAGTGTTCCGAAACAGACTTACAGAAATTGTGATTTGTGAAATTAAACCCCCGCGAATAAGTTCTGGACACAAAAACGTGAAATTTTAACCCTGCAAAATTTAACAACTTTACAGTATGTAATAATATGAAATTGATCAAACTTTCCTATGGTCACATACAAAATTTGACACTAGAATGAAGTATCCTCAAACTGAGTTTTCGTTCTGGATCTACATATAAGTAAGGCTATGAATTTGTGGAGAAAAAAGTCTAAGTCTTGTTAATAATACTGCAACCCGAGTTATTTCATCCTCCGCTCAAATAATAAGTAAGTGGTGTTTAGAAAGATCTCCCCAGTTAGGTAAGCATTCATGTAAGCTTTTACTCACAAACTGCACTTGTTGATGTATTTATATACCTATATATCTCAATTCAATTGAATGTTTGTATATATGTACAGTATAAGTTTTTGACCAAGGTGTTAGCGGGTAGCCATAATGATTGCTTGTTTTATAGCTTTTATATCCCAAGATTTAAAAAAAAAAAAAAAAATTAAGATTGCTTAAATCATAAATAAATGTGATAAACATTATATGGAATCTTTTCTATTGCTTTGCTTCAATGGATATTTTGTATTGTATGGCTTTGACGCAGACCCAGGATATATGTGTTATTGTTTTAGGATTGGGGAGGGGTGGGCAATACTTCATGGAATATTGAAGTACCCTGTACGCTGTTTTGACCGAGAGGTTTTGTACACTTGCTGTATGTGTATGCATTTATCATGTTGGAAGTCTTTGAGTCACAATGGAACCTCATGTCACCAGAAAAAATATTCTTGTGCAAATTGTTTCCTGGAAATATCTATTATCTTAATTAGTAAAACTTTGAACATAAGTCGATCAAGACAGACTGTTACAGGATAAAAAAAAATTAATGAAGTTGTGGAATATCAGTTGAGTAATCTTGCAGAGAAAAAGAGTTTAAATATCATCACAATTTGAAGATGGAAATGTTTGGAAAATTATAGGAATGTTTTTTGCCCCCTTTATATTTATATGTACACAATTTAATATTAAGTTTAATTCAACATTTTTCATCGTTAACCCTTTCACCCCTATGTAACTTTAGTAGACTCTACCATGTATTGATATGGAGGAGTCCATTATGGTCTACAGTGGTGAAAGGGTTAATGGAACAAATAATTTAAAAGTCTTCCTATAAACTGAGTGAAGCATGCTTGGTGATTTGAAGCTGTGTGCTGCTTGTATAGATATAGACTGTAGTGTACATGTTTAGCGAGTGTTGTTTTCTGCTTGCCATTTCAGACGGGGGTAGTGCACCTGCGTAGTAGCTCTGATATCACGCCTCCATTAGTGTCCCCCTCCAAACCTAACTACTATGCCCAGCATCCCTCCTCCTCAAACGTCGCCTCGTCTCCCGGCCACGCCCCAAACAACCACCATCAGTACCGTGACCAGCAACAACAACATCGCGAACAACAACGAGTAAGTGTCTTACCATGCGCCTCGTCACGTAACATGCATGATTATCTTTTGTCGTGTATTCTTTAATTAATTAAGAATTTTCCAATAATATTCTTATCATATGTTTTAAGATTTACGATTCCCCTCTAGGTACCTCATCTGGTGAATATGTGTTCCCTGTGGGTTTGTTGTCCTGTGATTAAGGATATATTCTCTCAATACATGGCCAATTGAAATTTGTTCAGTGATTTGTGTTCCATCTAGGTGCCTCTATTAAACGCTAATTCCCCTGTAGTTGCCTCATCGAGAAGGTAGAATTTTGGTGTTGTCGCCTCATCTAACAAGTAAAAATGTTCTCCAGGGAATTTCCTTGTACGTTAAATAAAAAATTCCCTCTGAGTGCCTCATACAGTGAGGAAAGCTTCCCCCTCTAAATGCATTATGTAATAATTAAGAATTTCCCTCTAAGTGCCTCATGTAGTAAAATCTTCATCGGAATGCCTCACCCAGTGATGAAGAATTCCCCAATGAGGCTTTCTGATCCAATATCTAAGATTCTCATTACCAGTTAGCTTCATAAGGATTCCTGTAGTTGCCTCACCCCTGAAATTTGATAATAAACTATTCCAACATTTCAATTGGAAGAGTTCAAATGTGTCTTCTAGGGTGAATGAGTTTGTAAGACTTCCCCTGAAAGTGCCTCATCCAATAAGTAAGGATTCCCTGTAGGTACCTCATCCAGTTAATAGAATCCCCCTACCACCAAGTGCCCCATCCACTAAGCATGTGTCTTTGTAAAATAACAAGAAATCTTCACCCAATGAGCAATAGTTTCTTCTTAATGCTTCGTACCTGGCCGTTCTTCAACCAATGAGCAATAATTTCTGTGCTTCGTGTCTGACTGTTTGTATGATCTTGTACAAGGTCATCATTCCACGTGTTATAATGTTAGCACATCAGAAGCTTTCTGTATCCAAAGTACAACCGTGTTCTGCCAAGCATCAATTCTCGCCAACAGAGTTATCTGCATTGTAGATTATCTGCAATTGAAATCTGTAGTCTGCTTGTTGTTCATGGAAATGCTTAATTTATCATTTTAGAAAAACATTGTGCTGGAAAACACAACATGTTTGCTTGTAGGAGGTCTTTGTCTCTGCACTCTAGTCAGGAATTTAATTATTGGTACTGGAATATAATTGTAACCACAAAGTTTCTGGGTTTTCCTACGTTGTGCATCACTTCCAAATCAATGGACATTTTATTGTACAGGGGTGCAGAGACCATTTTTGTGGACTAATTTTAGTAATATTTCAATTTGAAATTCCATATGCTAAAATACAAAAGAAAATGGAAGAATTCATATTTTGATTTTTCATATCCAATCATATGCTAGTGTTATTGTATGCATACAAAAAAAATCTAACTTTTTTTTTTTAAATCCATAATTCATTATGATGTGTTTTAACCCTTTTAATACCTTACTATATTTACAAGCCTTGTTTTTTTACGCTTCTTGGTGTGACCATTTATCTGAAGAAATAATTTGTTGACAACAAAACCCAGTATTTTGTGCTTTGAAATTGTGTCTTTTTTGCTTTCAACTTCTCAATAACCGTTTTCTACCAGCTGTGAAGAAAACATCTTGAGTTACAGTGTAAAGTTTGCTTTAAGGTTGACAGTGTATTTATTTTTTGAAAAGCCTTTTTTGGGGGATGGGGGAGGGATGGGTGTACAAGGCTTTTATGAAAATTAATACAGTACTTACAGTACAAATTGAATCTTTCACCCCTGAAGACACATTTGAACTCTTCCAGCTCAAAGGTTGGAATACTTCATTATGAAATTTCAGGGGTGGATGAGTTAAGAATTTTAAATGCTATTTTCACTTGATTATATAGGATTTTGGCTGTGATGAGTTTGGTTTGAAACCCACTTTTTATCAGTATCACCCATATACTTACCAATTCCTACCCATTTTTCTCTTTCCAGAAAACGAATTATGCTTTGAAATGGCAAACCATTGATGTGTTTTATTATTTTTTGTAACCAACTTTGTAGCAATTATCACGACCCAAATCCCAGTATGATATGCCTACTAGCAATAATCATCAGTCAGACCAACACTTGGACCGGTTCGCTCAAGCCAAGGATATGGCACATGGACCATACGGTGGATATTATGTGAGTTACCTCCCCTGCTCAGGGGGTTCATCTTGGCAGGCCCTGATCCAGCATACGGGAAATGGTTTATAAATAATCCTGGCCCTGAACTTAGCATTTCAGTCAGTCAAGGACAAATGTCAGAACCTAACACCATACACAATGTTTTGATTGGCTGGTCCTACTTGTAAAAATCATTTCAAAGATACTTCAGACTTGAGGAAATCCGAAGACTTGAGATGTTGCATAATATATGTACAAGCCAGTCAAGTTTTGGCCAAAATATCTTAATGATATTCTTTTTCTTTCTTATATCAAAATTTTAATGAAAAATGATATTTAAAAAATGACGTGATTTAATATCATAATTCCAAATTCTTTTTGATTTGCTGTAAATTCCTTTGAATTTTTCAACTGTGAAAATGAAAAAAAGTATAAACCTTACAGGAATTGATTGAAACATTTTGTTTTAAAAGCTGATATTGTTTCACCATTGTGAAAACTAATCCATTATTAGAAATAACAGCAGTACAAGATCAATGGTATGTCAGAATAGATCAAGTGAGGCGACTAGTGAAAAGGAAAACTAGGGTGTACAGAATCAAAAATCAGATAGTATTTTAACACATTTCATTTACAACTAGTGGATGTCAATTATACCTGAAATTAAATGTTTTAAACGTCCCAACAATACCCGTAGATTTATTTACAGTCGTATATGTTAAACAATAAACATAAGCTCTGTAGAGCTATGTCTACGACCAAACAATAAACATAAGCTCTATAGAGCTATGTCTACGACCAAACAATAAACATAAGCTCTGTAGAGCTATGTCTACGACCAAACAATAAACATAAGCTCTATAGAGCTATGTCTACGACCAAACTTTATTTCCTTCTGCACGTAACAAGAATAAATCTCATGTCTTGACAATTTCTAACAGGATTATCAGTTGTTAAAATTATTTGTTGGTTTGTTTTTGTCTTAATTGTACATTCCTTCTATTAAAAAAATCTGAATATAATTAATAAAATTTTGCATTCTGACATATTCTGATTCCACTTGTACTTGCATTGCTAGTTTGGATTAACAATGAAAGCTTAATCTTAACATATATATGCTTATTTCTAATTTTCTTATTTTAAATTAACCAATCAGACTGAAACTTATGTCTTGACATTTTCTAATTGACCAATCAAAACATCTGTTACATTGGTTTCTGTCCATCAGCGGGGGCCTGCCATTTGAGATTCTGCATGCTGCTGCATGTTGAAAGCTTCTTCCAGCATCGTTCCTACTCGACATGCCTAATATACATATATTATACTAATGGTTGATCCTCTTCTTCTTCTTCTTCAGCATGCAGATATTCCTGTCCAATTAACTCTGGTGCTTCAAGCATTGTTTACAACATCTAAAAAAAGGCTGTGTTGATTCTGAATTTCAACCTGTTAAATGCTGGATTCAACATTTTATGTGCTCAGATTTAACTCGTTCACCCCCCGAAATATCATAATGAACTATTCCAACCGTTGAATTGGAAGAGCTCAAATGTGTCCTAAGGGATGAATGAGTTAAATGAATAGATGAGTTTGGAAATTATTTTTTGCAAATTCCTGATAATAATGGTCAGAGCTATATCCAACTGTAGATCTTGAGAGTTTATTTGCTTTGTGGATTTTGCAAGTTCTTGCCTTGATCTATTTAAGCTCATTACTCTGAAACAAAGAATTTTAGAAATAAAAAATCGATTTTATATATTGATCCTATCACCCCCTCAAATCACATTTGAACCTTACCAAATCAGGGACTGGGCAAGTCCAGTTTAAATATGTAGGGGTGAATGAGTTTAAGATTGATTTCAGGATTGATTGTTATGTAGCGCATGCCTCAGAAACAATCTCTTGAATGATTTGAGAAGCTGCTTGGATATTTATATAAGATTTTCTGACATTTGTATTCACAGGTATTTGTGCATACGTATTTTAAGCATGTGTATCTGCATTTATCAGAAAACTCCAGATAAGGGTTTTTACTGAACTTGTAATTAGTACGTTGCCATTAACAATAAGTAGCAATAGTATGTTTTATATAAATAACCTGGCTATGCTGTACTGAGAAGAGTGCATTCTTATACTGCTTCTTTATATGCATAGAGTGCGAAAATTTTGATTGTAGTTACATTGATGTATCAACATGAATTTAACTCAATATCTGCAACAAATATCCAGAAAAGTGCTTTGGAAAAAATAATGAACCCCATATTGCAGAGGAAGTGCTGATGGAATTTCTTGGCTAACTTTCAAGTTAAAGTTATATTTTGTGTCCCCATCTACTGGCCTGTTTGTATCACGTCTTTGTTAGACTTCAGCATTCAGCTCATAATCTCTAATAAGTAAAGTACTAGAAGTTCAACTGTTGTCAAATTTCATAGGTGATCCTTTTTGAAGAGTATTGCACCAATTAATCAGGCGTAGTATGAAGCCATGTAACAAACGAGTTAAATCAGATAGTCCACCAATATATCAAATGTAGGTCACTGTGACTGGGTTAATTTTACGTTCAGTTCCGGATCCGTTTAAGGATAAAAGTGGTAGCGAGCATTTGTGTGTTTTGCAAATCTGTTTTACAAAATCTGATTTCTTCCTGTTTTCATGGGTTATGGTTACCTATGTCATTTCAATATCACAATTTTTGTTTGAAGATCAGGATTTTAAAGATTACATCAATAAAATAATATACCCGGGTAAACTGGCAAATTGCTTCATTGTTATTCGAAATTCGAAAATGGTTGGTTATTTTACTTTTCATGCACACAAAAAATAGATTCATAGACACGCTGCCACAATATAAAGCACTGATATATATGTTGCAGCAAGTACAATGTAAACGTTTTCACACGTCTTACTAATAAGTAGAGAGTGAGAACACTAAACATGGCAGTAAATGAAAAATATTCATGAAGAATGACTTTATTAATGGTAGTTCATATAATTAATACTTCAATTAAGTCATAACGTAATTATTTCCTTGTAATGGTTAATGCACTCTCAAATGATTCATAAGCTAAGGTTTGGAAATGTAGGGTATTTCATTGAATTGTGTGGTTTTTTTTTACAGATTTATGAAGATTCTTAGAGTTTTCATCTTAGCATGTGGTTGAGTCTTTTTTCATTCTTTACTGAATATTTTTAGTGTTTTCTGTTAATGACATCAACAGTTTATTAGCTCACCTGGCACAAGGGCCACATGCGCTCTTCCAACCGTGGTGCACCTTCCTGTCGTCCATTTCTTTAATTTTATATAAAGGAAGGGTGTATGGAATTAAGGAACTTGCTTTGTATTGAGAGATCTTTAATTAACAATGATGATATTAGAGATTAATCAATCTTTCTACCCCTTAGGAGTGAGATAGGGGAATCTCAACCCGAGGGGAGATTCTTAAGTTGCTGAACACGAGGTTTCCCCCCATCTCACCTCAAGGGGGTGAATGGTTTTTTTTCTCTTACCTAGTTGACCCTGTCATATACATAACACAATGTTAACGTTACAGGCACAAGCTATTGTTGGCACAACATTAATGCATTGTTGACGTAACGTCATCGTATTGTTGAGAGGGATGTTTTCTCTGTCACATAATTCCAGCACAGTTTCAATAACATAGTAGATACTGGGTGTATGGTGAGAGGATTTTTACATGTTTTTTGATAATTAATTTTGATGTACTTCATACTTCAGCCAGCAATGAAAGAGGATGAAAAGATTAGTGATCTTGACTATGTGTCCTATTATATAAATCTGTCCGTAAAATATAGCTGCATTGTTGCACGAGAGGCATATCAGCAATCTATTGTTGGCATGACATTAATACATTGTTGACGTGACGTCATTGTATTGTTGACATGACGTCATTGTACTGTTGACGTGACGTCATTGTATTTTTGACATGACGTCGTAGAATTGTTTTGACTGGGGAAATCCCTCTGTCTCAACCCTTGGATGAGACAAGGATATCTCACACTGGCAAAAGTGGATACGCCTGTCAAGGGTAAGAGATATATAACATCCAAGTGAGCTATTCAGGCCCATGAACCTCTTGTTATACATTATTGTCATATATTATTCAAAGCAAGTGAGCCTTGATGAATTTCTTTTTTAACCAAACTTGTATTGCATGGGAAAAAAAGGAATTGAGTAGTGTTCTTTTTCTTTTGTTTCAGGATTTTTTCCACTGAATTTTTTTCTGGGCTAATCGTGTTCTTGTTTATAAATTTTTCACTTTTCTAATTTTCAAGTCTTGAGGGATATTTTCTCTGTCACATAATTCCAGCACAGTTTCACTAACAGTTTAGATGGTGGGAGGATTTTGACATGATTTTTGATAATTAATTTTGATGTACTTCATACTTCAGCCAGCGATGAAAGAAGATGAAAAGATTAGCGATCTTGACCATATATCATATTATGTAAATCTGTCCGTAAAATATAGCTGCATGTTGCATGAGAGGCATATAGGATAATTTAGTTTTGTCCAATTATACTTTATATATCTCTTTATCCAAAGTCATGTCTGATGTATTCTATGAAAAAGAAAATCTCAAATATAGTTATGACTGAAACATTCAAGCTGTCTTTAAACATATTGCCAAATATAATGTTTCATTACAACACATTAAAATGAACAGTTAGCATTGGTTTGGAAAACATGAACTATGTAACTAAATTTAAACGCATTGTATATGAAAGAGTCTTGTATTGTTTTAACAAATGGTAATCAAGTTATAGATTCAAGATCACAGCTTGACAGGGCTACAGCACAGACGTGATGTGTACAGATAATAATTAGAGTTGTGTCGCTTTGTTACAGAGGCCTCAGGCCCCTCAGCCTCCCAGGCCAGTGTCGATGCCCGATATCCCTCGTCTGTCACCCAGTCTCACTTCAACAGTTGTTCCGTTACTTTCAAAGGTTTGTATGCTGAAATTTTGTCCAACTTGCATATCGGGGTCAATCTACCTAATTTACATTGAAACCTCTTTATATCTACACTTCTGACCCACATACACTATGATCCATGGTCTATTTTATGAAATTTATCAAAGACTAAAGTTAACTTTTCTTTTTTTCAACTTACCAAGATTCACTTTTAGAGTCGATTTGAAATCGAATATGGCCATCGAGGCATCCAGTTGGCCGAATTATGTTTGACTTCCTTTCAGGTTACACCATACAAATTTTAACTGAATGTGGAACAAATGTCGACCTTAACCAAATGTTTTAACTTCTCACCCGATATGAAATCTGTCACGGCCGACCCAGCCGAAGATTTTAGTTATGTTCCTCTATTATTTAAAGAGTTCCACTGTTTTGTCTATGTATGTTACATTTATCACTGAAAACTTCTTATGGAATTGTTTCCTTGCTTGATATTTTGTTACATGCCTCTTAAATAAAGAGTTTCACACTTCTGTGTAAAGTGTTTTTAATCTCCTCCGTTACTGAAGAGTTCTGAAGTTCTATTCTTGTGTAGCTTATCCTTCCACCATTCCATTACTGAAGTTCTATTCTTGTGTAGCTTATCCTTCCACCATTCCATTACTGAAGTTCTATTCTTGTGTAGCTTATCCTTCCACCATTCCATTACTGAAGTTCTATTCTTGTGTAGCTTATCCTTCCACCATTCCATTACTGAAGTTCTATTCTTGTGTAGCTTATCCTTCCACCATTCCATTACTGAAGTTCTATTCTTGTGTAGCTTATCCTTCCACCATTCCATTACTGAAGTTCTATTCTTGTGTAGCTTATCCTTCCACCATTCCATTACTGAAGTTCTATTCTTGTGTAGCTTATCCTTCCACCATTCCATTACTGAAGTTCTATTCTTGTGTAGCTTATCCTTCCACCATTCCATTACTGAAGTTCTATTCTTGTGTAGCTTATCCTTCCACCATTCCATTACTGAAGTTCCAATATTCTGGTATTGTTCAGCTAAAGGAAGACTACAAAGAGGAATACCGTCGAAATGGTCGGCCTATTCAAAGAACAGAGGCAGTGGATGAACTCAGGAATGCCTTTGAGCTGGCCGAGAAATCCTGTCCTGGCATCACAGACGATTTAGTGGCTGGACTTATGGGGAGGCTAGCTATGTCACACATGTCCGAGCAAGATATCCGGAGAGCAGTTGATAAGGTCAAGAGATAGGTAAGGAATCAATCATCTTCACATATTGTTTCACATCTTACATACCTACAGTCAAACTTTGATGTTTCAAACTTTGCAGGACCATCGGGAAAAATTTGAAACATCAGGACTTCTTCTCACGAATGTTGAACATTGAACATGAGATAGAACGTGATTTTTATGTAACGAAACACTGGCTAAGAAATTTGATTTTAAATGAATAATTAGATTTACAGTAATAAGAATAACATGTGTATTTATGCACTGTAAGTTGCATGGTGATCTTGTCAAATTCAAAATTCATTTGTCAATTAGATTTCCTTAGCCTGTACCTGTGTTGATGTGCTCCATTATAAACACCATGTGGCTGAGAGTGATTCCGCTTGCTGCTCGTGTAATGATTTAAATGTAGAGGTTAACTCATTGACCCCTGAAGACACATTTGAACCCTTTCAATTCAAAGGTTGGAATAGTTCATTATGAAATTTCAGGGGTGAATGAGTTAAGGGGACCTAAGGGACCACACACTACTGCTATCAAATTTTCGGAGCTTAGAGCAGTACGCCATTTTCGGAACGCCATTTTCAGAAAAAAAATCAATCGATAAAAAAAGAGGGACTATTCTCTCAAAATTTAAAGGAAAATGGAAAAAAATTAAGATCAAATTTTGGTTTTGAGGGTCCAATTCCAGATATGTCCTTTTTCGTTGTAGTTACTTATGGGGCAGCATGTTGAAGATCTGCCAAGCAGGATTCTACCAAATTTTACTTGACATACCTTATTACTGTGTTTGCTATGTGCACTTAATGAAAATATTAACAAATCTCATGAAAATCACGTTCAATAAAAATTGAATCTTCTATTTATGACTGGTGCAGTATGAATGCCGAAGACTAGTCACTGTCACACTCTGATATTGTTATATTGCAGGCCGTCTGAGCTGTTAGACTCTGATATTGTTATGTTACAGGCCGTCTGAGCTGTTAGACTCTGATTTTGTTATGTTGCAGGCTGTCCGAGCCAGTGAAGTGCTTTTCTCGAACTATCTTTGCAAACTTGTGCATGGTTCCCAATGGAGTACAACAACGCTTGGTCGGCCATAACAGATTATACATACACCATTCCCAGGGCGTCTGCTGTGCAGCATGCAACAGGTCATGTGATCTATCGTACATCTGCCGTGCGGTGGTCAATAGGTCCTATGACTTATGGCATGTCTGCCACAAGGCAAGTAACGGGTCATGTGACTTATCGTTGAACATGATAACATAGTGACATTTCTCATTTGAATGGGACAATTTTTTACCAAAAAAAAATGTGTTGTTGGTTTATTTGCCATTGACAGACAAGCAAAGTGCAAAAATTACTATGTGATACTTTCTGTAGATGTGTGGGTGAGTGGAGAACGGAGATCCCAGCAAAGACGACCGGGTGCTTTTATAGAGACCTACTAATGGATATGTAGTGCATCACAGTTTTATAACATTCATTATGTAAAACTGATGTGGTAGAAAAAACGACTATGGAACAGTACTGTGCCCCGACCAATCAGTTCAGCTTTTACCTGTGTCTCACACGTAGTTAGCCAATCAATGGCAGCCAGCTCCTCATATCGGTTGCTGTATATTTAAATGAATTTTCCAGTTTTCAGATTTTTTGCATTATGTCAATGCTTAATGTTGAATGTTTTTCTTGAGGCTAAGATTAAATCTCTTCAAGTGAAGTTCTTGGAATGAATGAACGGTTGAAACATTTGGTTTAAAATCTGGCTACAATGAAATTGCTTCTTTTTTTCCCCCGCTGATTTTCGCTCTTTTAATGTTTTTTTCTCAAAAATGGGGGATAAATCGAGAGACGATGTCTGCATGCTTTTCTGATTATTTGTGAACATGACCTTGTCTCAAGGAAACTATTATGGTGGTACATGTGTAATTAGTACCGTATTTGACTTAATATGCTCCCTCAGCACTGGTCAGTTTGGGGATATGCTCCCTCAGCACTGGTCAGTTTGGGGATATGCTCCCTCAGCACTGGTCAGTTTGGGATAATTATCAGAACAATTGCAGACTTCAAAACATTCTCATAAAGAAAAAGGCATAAGGGAAAATTATTTCCAGAAAATTGGTGCATTATGATCGGGGGGATGCTGATCTTAGAGAGAAAAAGGATAGAAGTGCTAATAATCTGAGATTTATCTACCTCTTTTCCACAAGGGCCTGTGCCTTGTGACTTTCGGAAAATATCACGCACAAAAAGCATGATTTTGGGAAAAAGAAGAAATTTTTGCATTGATTTTGAGAAAACACAGCAGAAATTATCTCAAGAGAAGGGGGGTTTACAAAGGCCCAAAATTCACGTTTATATAATCACTGATAATGGATGGGGCCATTTTTAGGTTGATCACTGTGTACTTAACCATAAAAGGAAAGTTGTCTTCATTAAATATGTATAACACATAAGTCTTTTGTTAACATTCTATCAGGCCAAATATAAACAAATATATGTTTGTCATACATAATGTGTCTACGATGAACGTTTGTTTTTCCAGGTGAATGTAATTCCTAATAGGAAAAAAGGTAAAAACTCCAAAACAGAATTAAAATTGTGAAGGTTTGACTGAAATTGTTCAGGTCATTTTTAATTAAAGGGGTAATAGTCTAATAGATGTACACTTTCATGAATGATCTTACAGTAAATATTTTTGAATTCTGACTTTTCTCGTCTGAGAGACTTATTAGGTTTTTTTAGAACATTTATGTATGTATCTGTATATTTCCTTTTCTGAGTTTCAAAGATTTTGTTTGGTCACCAGTAATGCGACCCTTTATTCATTATAGGAATAGATGTACAATATTTAACATGTATTTATTTTCATCATGAATCAAGAATGCTTACTGTAAAGCTATGGTTTATAGATTCTGTTATAGTCTGTTTCAGATTTAAGACTGAATCTAAGAATAGTCTGTTTCAGATTAATAACTGAATCTCAGTATAGTATAGTCTGTTTCAGATTTACGACTTAATCTAAGTATAGTCTGTTTCAGATTAATAACTGAATCTAAGTATAGTATAGTCTGTTTCAGATTTACAAATGAATCTAAGAAAAGTCTGTTTCAGATTTTGGCTAAACTTGTGGTACGAAATATGTTCTATTATTCCAACAGAATGAACAGTAAGTGCTACATAAGGATATTTTTCTGAAGCAGACTATACAGATTTTTTGTACCCTTTTTGTTAATCTGAACCATAGGTTGAGTATGAATACTTTCCAATGAGAAAGTAAACAACAACAGACTCACATTTATATATAAATATATATAATCTTTGTATCATTTATCACATTCCCTGTCTCTAGCCTAATGTTCATAGTGTAATCAGAATTAAAAGTATTTTACTTCGCACAAGGTTTTGTTTTGCCGAAAGTATCATGGCAGTTTTATGAGAATGAGTGTGAAAGAGATTGTTGCAGCAGTTATATGAGAATGAGTGGGATCATGAGGTTACCATAACTGTTTCCTGAGTGGGGATGGGGTGAGAGAAATAATACAGGCTTCAAAATCAAGACACTTCGGAAAATATTAGTTATCAATTTTTGTCATAATTTACAGAATGTTTACCGGTTTGCATATATTGAAATTTGTTGTCAGAATTTATTGTACAGGTCATTTTATGATTTATTCATTACAACTGAAAAGTAATTGTAGAAATTATTAGAAACTTGATGAGTTCTGACTTTCTTTAATTAAGTTTCATATGATATTTGTCTATAATTTTGATGCACTCCTCTGAGACTAGAAGTATTACAAAGTACTTAACTCATTCACCCCTGAAGACACATTTGAACCTTCCAATTAAAAGATCGGAATAGTTCATTATGAAATTTCAGGGATGAAAGTACTTAGTATTAAACATTTCCTTCTAATTATAGAAACATGTCTTCTGACCTCAAGATCATTCAACATCTTCTCCTAACTGTGGAAATATTGTAATAACCCTCAGACCTTAAAAACATTCTCCTTACCTAAAAACATTCTCCTTACCTAGAATCGTTCTACTTAACTTCTTTTGGCCTCGGAAGCATTACGTTTACTCCTTACTTCAGTATCTGTCTCTTTGACTTAGGATTGACGCTCAAATTGTTCTCCTGACCTTTGATTTATTCTCCTGACCTTTGATTTATTCTCCTGACCTTAGACTTATTCTCCTGACCTTTGACATGCATGCTGTCTCTTTCATATGATTGAGGTTAATACTTATTCTTTGAACTGCTGTTATTTGTTTAATCACGAGAATCCATGTTTTGTACATTACATGTTAAGAATCTGTCGGCATTCGGCAGTATTTGTTGTGTAAGTGAGAAATGAATGAATTCGCAAAAGCAACTGATGTATATAATCCTAAATACCATGTACATAGCAAATCTCATACAATCATTCCATATGGGCGTTAGTTTAATGGTCTTTCAGCACTTGTACAGTCTAAAAAATGCAGGGAAGAGTATAACCCATAATATCACAATGTACTTGTAACCCCTCTTGATTGATGCTTCGGACATCTTATATAGTCTTGTCCATTTTACACTGCCCTGTTACCAAAGCTAGTAAATCTCTCAAGTGGCAGACGCACCTTCTCTCTAACCGGCTTTGTTTTAACTCATTCACCCCTGAAATTTCATAATGAACTATTCCAACCTTTGAATTGGAAGGGTTCAAATGTGTCTTCAGGGGTGAATGGGTTAAGAAGCAATGGCCTCTTAGTCTCCCAAGCGAAATCTTTTCTACCTAGCAAACAGACCTGCTGGGGAGGAGGTCACTGTTAGCGACGCAGACTTTTCTCTTTTGCTAGCAATAATCACTTTAGAAATATTTGATTCCTCTCTCACTGGCTAGACCCAAGGGGCTTGTTTTCCCGCCTAAATGTCCCGATACTAGGACCTATGTCAACACTTTATATGTTTCAGGGTATGTATAAGGTATAGGTTGGCATTCCTTTGTCCCAAAATGCACAACCTTGAGAGAATGTACAGCAACATAATATGTGGTTTATGAGAAAGAACATGCAGCAGCGCATAGAGAGAGATGGAAGTAGAGGTTGAGAAAAATCAGAGATTTTGAGGGAAAGTGTGATATAGAGATGGAAAGAAAGTTTAATATAAATACAGAGAAATAGTGAGGAAGTTAGGAGGAATGAAAATGTGGGCATTTTAAAATTTAAACAGAAAGAATGGAAAACGTAAGATAGTATAGAGAGAAAGTGTGATAGGAAGTAAAAAATCAAGATGGAGAGAAAATGTGAGAAATATGGAGGAAGAGAAACTACAAGATGGAGTGCGTTGAAAGTGGGAGTGTGTAAAAATTCCAAGAAAGTAGAAGAAAGTTTGAGAAATAAGAGGTCAACAGGAATGCTTTAATCTCTCTAATTGTCTATTGATAAAAACTGAGTTGTACAGAAAATTATAATCTACCCTTCCTGCAAATGCCAAAGCTGGCAAAAATATTGTTGCTTTTTTCAGAGACTTTGTTTTCATATAGGATTTCTTTTCCAATTAAACTTTATTTCACACTTATTTAGTCAGGCTGTAAATATGGAAATATTTAATGAATTATTCAGAAGCTGAGAAACCAAAAGCACCAAAGCTTGATAACATACAAACATAAAATATTGATACGGTTTTCCTAAACTTCTTTAAATCATGACAATACAGCATGCGTTAGTATTAATACTGATAAGTCAGCGGAAAAAAACCCCAGCAATATTTAATGCAATTTATTTTACCCCATCTGTGAGTTTTACATTTGGTTAATTCTGACATAGATGCTTTGTTTTGTATAAAACCCTGAAATATCAATTTGTAAAATTTGAGAAGCTAAAAAGACTTGATATGTTTTGTCAAAGATAACCCAGTAATTATTTATCAACAGATGATCTGGCATTCTATAGCATCTTTGCGTATTGAAGAGTTATCTTCTCTTGTGAGCAGGTATTGATTGTTACGTCATTGGTTTGTGTGAGAAATTTACGTCATTTTCTCAAAAATTGATGACGTTTCTCTCACAAACCAATGACATAACAATCATTACCTACTCACAAGAGAAGATAACTCTGCAATACGCAAAGAAGGAATAACGTCTGAGTTACTGTTGATCTGTTGTGTTACATGAAATGTGTATTTCTTTGTGAAATTGCTAGAAGAAAAAATGATACCAAATATTCAAACATGTCGCAATAATTTCTTCAGACCCATTAAATTAATCTGAGCATATTCATATCTGTTGATGGTCCCGTTCAAATATTTTCAAATAAGTCAGTGTTAGAATGATCAGGAAAATAAGTATTCACCAAAATGCAGTGGATTGCAGTAACTCTGGTACATGATTATGACACAGGTTCACATACCACGGTACCAGGAATGTTGAAAAAAAATATTTTACGATTAAATTTATATTTAATTACTACTAAGTTCTATTTTTTCACCCAGAAACTGTATTGCCTTGTTCAAGATGTAATGAAGTAAGTTTGAAGAAGTGTTCAGAATACAGCAGGGGTTTTATGCAATTTCATGTTTTCCATATAATATATATGGATATATGAGATGTACAATATGTACAATACATTATGTAATTATATAAATATGTATGTTAATGACTGTACAGAGTGTGTCCAGCGCTTGTTTTCTGTTAAATCTCGGGAAGAAGTGGTGATGAGAGGAAGAGTGTTTTAGAATCCACGCTGTGGATAATGTTGTTGTAGGTTTAGTGTGCTGAGGAGTGGAGACTTTTTTCTGTATGACATTTTCTGCACTACAACTCAATACAGAGCATACTGCATATCAGGTATCGAGGATTCCCCGTGTATTTATATACATAACACTGGTCTTCTCAGACAAGAGTTACTGCCCTTTGTTTTCAAAATTCATAATGTTGGCCAATATGTAAGTTGTCTTCGAGGTGAAATCATTATCCTTTCGTCATTTTGTTTTTCGCCTTTTTTGTAATTTAAATTTTGCTTTTCATCAGTCTTTAAAAGAATTGAAGTTTTCTTAAAATCACCATGAAGACAATTTATACCATGCCCTCTTCCCTTAGCGTGTAACTCTTCTCTTTGAAAACCAATATTAGTATGAGTGACTAACAGTGATGGGTGACCTTATGATAAACTTTTTTATGTATAGTTTCACTGAATATGTTGTTATTATTGCAAACTTGAATGTAAGATAAATTCAGTTGCTCTAAATTCACTATTTTTATACAGGAATCTAGGTGTGAATTAATTTCATAGCAACTTGTTTAACATGTGATATACCATGATATATGAAATTATAAAACGTATATAAGAAAATTAGATTCCTGTCTTGTGTTTTTTAGCTCACCTGGCCCGAAGGGCCAAGTGAGCTTATCCCATGGTGCAGCGTCCGTCGTCCGGCATCCGTCAACTTTTTCCTTTAAAATGCTACTTGTCCTGAATGGCTCGGAGGATTTTGACCAAATTTGGTCAGGAGCATCATTGGCCAAAGGGTTCTCAGTTTTGTATAAACGGAGGATATAACCCCCCTGGGGGCAGAGGGGCGGGGCCAAATAGGGGGAAAATAGGTAAATCTTTAAAAATCTTCTTCTCAACCAATAGAAGGATTTTGACCAAATTTGTCCTAGAGCATCTTTGGACAAAGGAGACTCAAGTTTGTATAAACGGAGGGTGTGGCCTCTTTGGGGGCAGAGGGGCGGGGCCAAATAGGGGAAGTAGAGGATTTTTTCTCTCCTACTATACAAGTGAAGGGATTTAAACCAAATGCAGTCTGAAGCTTGGTCAGGAGCATCATTGGCCAAAGGGTTCTCAGTTTTGTATAAACGGACGGTATAGCCCCCCCTCGGGGCAGAGGGGCGGGGCTAAATAAGGGGAAAAAAGGTAAATCTTTAAAAATGTTCTTCTTCTCAACCAATTGAAGGATTTTGACCAAATTTGTCCTAGAGCATCTTTGGACAAAGAAGACTCAAGTTTGTATAAACGGAGGGTGTGGCCCCTCTGGGGGCGGAGGGGCGGGGCCCAATAGGGGAAATAGAGGATTTTTTTTCTCCTGCTATACAAGTGAAGGGATTTTAACCAAATGCAGTCTGAAGCATGATTAGGGACAAAAGAATCAATTTTGTATAAACTGAGGTGTGTGGGCCTCCTTCTAAGGGCAGATGGGTGGGGCCCATTAGGGGAAATAGAGGAAAACATCAAATATCCTTCTCCTTTTGTACCGATGAAGGGATTTTGACCAAATTTGGTCTGGAGCATCATTGGCCAAAGGGTTCTCAGTTTTGTATGAACGGAGGGTATGGTCCCCCTGGGGGCAGAGGGACGGGGCCAAATAGGGGAAAATAGGTAAATCTTTAAAAATCTTCTCCTCAACCAATTGAAGGATTTTGACCAAATTTGTCCTAGAGCATCTTTGGACAAAGGAGACTCAAGTTTGTATAAACGGAGGGTGTGGGCCTTCTGGCGGCATAGGAGCGGGGCCCAATAGGGGAAATAGAGTATTCAGTACGTGATAACACCATTCATATACACATCACATGCATATATATATACCAATGATTAATGGAAATAACAATAGTTTAAACTTCCTTAGGGTAAGGTGGTTGGGGTAAGATATATATTGTATATGTTTACATGTCATATTGTTCAGTTATAGAAAATCTGCCAATTTTAAGTATAGATTTCTGTACAGCTAGAAATATTAAATCATTTTCAGCCAATGTAAACGAATCATCTCCAAATAATAATAACTCCAAAGTAATATTATGGGCAAAAGGTAGCGTCTTATTTGATCGTACCTGTTACATTCCAATTAAAAATGTTTATTGCCTTCGACTTCACCACACATGCATAATGGAGATGGAGCAATATTTTTTGCAAATAAATGACCATTTAAGGAGCTATACACTCCATTCCTAGTTGTGCGTGATATATTTGGCCCTTGCGGGTACCAACGTTGTAATAGATAGGCGTTTCTTAGTATGTTGCTTGTCAAGATAAGCTTTTAAAGCAGAAGTAGACGGATTTGATCGTACATTTTGTGGAAGACTATTCCATTGGTCTATAACAGAAGGTAGAAATGACTGCTTATAAAAGGAAGTTTTGCTCAATATTGGAGTAATAAAGGTATGGTCGGAGTTTCTGGTATCACATCCATGCCCTTCCGATACAGTACTTGGGATAAGGCTATATAAATATTCAGGTGTATATTGATGAACATTTTATGGAACTGGATAATTTTATGATTTTGTCTCCGATGGAATAAACTGACCCAAGCTGATTCATTGAGGTTTTCAAGTTTCTTTCCCAACTCATTCGGTATGTTCCCCCCACACTATATCTCCATACTCAAGTAGAGGTCTTATAAATGAAAAATATATTGGTTGTAAAGTATTTCTATCAAGCTGGAATTTTAAGGTTCACATGAGGTTAAGTTTAGGTGACGTTTTACAGATGGTGTAATTGACATGATCTGACCAACTACCGTTTGAGGAGAAAAAATCTCCGAGGTGCTGATGGAAAGATACGTTATTTATAGGAACTTGGTTCATATGTAAGAGAGGGTGATTGGGAGGGTTTCTTTTCCTACTTATGAGGATAGTTTCGGATTTATTTGGGTTAAAGTCTACAAGCCACTGGCGTGACCCATGCATTTATTATTTCCAAGTCCGATTCCAGAATTTCGTGTGCCGTAATTGGATTGTCTACTACCATATACAGTGACGTATCTTCGGCAAACAGTTTTATTATGGAGTTTATATCATACACAATATCATTAAAGTACACCAAGAAGAGCAGAGGTCCAAGGATAGAGCCTTGGGGTACCCCGGCAGTAATAGATGCCCAATTAGAACTGCAATTAATTAAAATAACTCTTTGTTTTCTGTCAAGAAGATAATCTTCAAACCAGGTATTAATAATAACTTTCCACATATATGCCAAGTTTTTGAAGTTTGAAAAGAAGGCCTCGATGCCAGACACGGTCGAAAGCCTTGCTGATATCACAGAATACTGCTCGAATTTATTTGCTTGAGTCTAGAAGAGCTTTACCAAAGTCGTTAGATATACTAAGTAATTGGTTTATAGTAGAGTCGCCGGGTGTGAAGCCTGATTGACAGCTAGTAATAAGGCTATTTTGACGAAGAAAATTGAACAAATATTTAAATATGCAGCGTTCAAATACTTTTCCTAAGACACTTATTAGAGATATGGGACGATAATTCTTGACGTCATCACCTTTGGCGCGCAAGTTATTCGACAAGGCTGTTGTCTGTTACCTAGTGATGTATACACCCCAAACCCTATTCGCTGCTCAAGAAACAGACCAGCTTGTACAGCCAGGCGAACTGTCGAACTTAATGAACAAAATGTCTGCCGGTAGCTGGGAAAAGACACATCAGCTGGAGAAGAAAACGTCTCACACCCCATCTGTATTGCCTACCAATATAAACTTCTTCCTCAATAAAATTAACATCGGTTGTCAACCAATGTGCTGGAAGATTCTCGTCCTTAATTTTACAGCAAACACGTGGGAGGTTTAAGTCGGAAGAGGTTCTCTTAAAAAAATACGACAAAAGATCGGACAATTCTATTAAAAAATATGAGGTCAAAAAATGGCACAGTGGTTAAGAAACAAAATAGATGAAGTACAAACATCAAAATTTCCCAACTCTAGAGTTCACGTCAACTCATTCACCCCTGAAATTTCATAATGAACT